GCAGGACGAGCACGCCCTTGCTGAGCTGCGCAATCTCTCTCATGAGCGCCGTGAAGCGCGTCTTCTTCGCCTCGTCCGTCAAGTACGGCGTAAAGTGCTGGATGCACTCCCGCGTCGTCGCCCCCGGCGAGTTTCGCAGCCACTCGATCACCATCCGGTCCTCCAGCTCCACGCCACCAGGCGGGCCCGTCGCCTTGCGCTTCTTTGCTTTCCCCGCAGCCGCATCGTCCGTTGCTTTGCGCTTCATCGACGGCTTCCCCGTCAGGACGCCGCCGCCGAGCAGCGGGCTCGTAGGGCTCGTCGGCGATGTCGGACTACCCGCGCGGCTCTGATCTATCGGGTTTGTCCCACCGGTAACGATGGACCCGCTCGCAAGAGGACTCGTCGCGCGACTCGATCCACTCGGTTTGACTTTCGGCATCTTCGGGCTCGTCGCGCGTTTCGCGACAATGGAATGGCCGCCATGGCTCGTGGGTATAGGTGATGTAGGCCTTGATGCCGACTCCGGCTCGGTCTTGATCTGTACAGGGGACTGGCCAACTGTGGGAGACTTTGCACCGTTGGCCGCTGCCGCAGGCGTAGCCGCCGGTGGCTGAGAAGGAGTGCGACCTGCTTTAGGCTCAGGAGGAATGATGGCCGGACCAGTGTACACTGGTACAGGCTCCTCTTCCTCTTCTTCGACCTGTATATGATTGAGTATAATGCTCAACGAGATCGACGGCGACATTACCTCGCTAGCGTACGGGTTCTCATCTTCGTCGCTATCATCGTACCCACCATCTTTCTCCAATTTCTGTAACGTCTTCTGAAGCGTCTTACCCGCACGTGTGAGGGAGGCCTCTTCTTCATCATCAGACTCGTCAATATATCCCTCTCTCGTCTTGTTCGCATTCTTGTACTCCCTCTTGAGTCGTTCCTACAATGAACGAAGTAAATACCAGGCAGAAGCATAATAAAATGGAGCGTACCTCGAGCTCCTTTGCTTCCTCATCATCCCGATCGTCCGGCTCCATCTTCTCCTCATCATCCTGAAATGTGTCTTCAAAGTCCAGCTCATCCAGGTCTCCTTCCGCGCCAAGTTCCCGCTTCAGCTTTCTCTTCCGATCCGTGCCGTCCTCGTCCTCGTCCTCGTCACCAAACAACCCTGCATCCCCGCTGTCGACAGTCTTTAATCGCCGCCCACCTGGCCCAAGACTAGTACCAGCCGTACTGGGACCGGTACTACCTGATCGCTCCGCTTTGAATATCGCAGTGGTTTCTTCAGACGGTGCTTGACCGTTTCGTTTCCGCAAGAGCCAGCGCTCCGGGTCTTTGTTCTTCTGTATTTTCGTCATCTAGATAGCACAGACGCACAGTGAGAATGGTGGTGATCACAATAAAGACCATGGTGATCATCATATTTATGCCAATTGACATGAATATCGCGAACGACGACGAGACGCACCAGAGATTCAGCCTCTTCCAACGTTGGAACGCGGTAACTCGGCTTCTTCTGGAATTTATACCAACGGTGTGCAGGGACAAACTTGAATACGTCGTCCGCCGCCGGCATGAATATGCACACAGTCTCCGCCTTGGACGCCTCCTCCATTTTGCCCACCCACACCTCTTTCTGCCCCGAATCCTCCATCACCCACGGGTACCGCTCCTCCTTGCGCAACTGCCTGACCGCATCGGGGACCAGAAAGACCTGCTTGGTCTTCTTCTGGAACTTCTTCTTCCCGTTCGCGCCCTTGTCCTTGTCCTTGCCCTTGTCTGCGGCGCCCCCGTTCGTATACGTCTCTCCCGGGCGGATCGGCCGCCCCTCCGCATCGACCATGACCATCTTCCCGTCCACGCCAATGACGGGCTTGCCGTCGGGCCCGAGCATCGGCCCGACCGCCTGCGGCGCGGCCTCGACGACGTCGTCCCCCTCGCGGCGCGGCTCCTTGCGGTTCAGCTTGACGGGCATCTGCCACGCGAGGATGTCCACGGGCTTGCGCGACTCGAGCTTCATCACGTCATACTTCCACCCGTTCAGCGCGGAGGACAGGAGGCGGAACTCGCTGTACGGCCCCTCGGGTGGCGCAGGCCGCATGTCGTCGTCCGCGTCTGCGGGCGCGGGCCGTGGCGGGCGGGCGGCGGGTGGGCGGGGCTTGCTCGGGGACGGCGAGCGGGAGTCGCTGGGGTT